AAACGTAACGAAACGTAAACGAAACGAAACTAAACGTAACTACGTACACCAACACGTACGACGACGACGACAGACGAGACGAGAGAGAGAGAGAGAGAGAGAGAGAGAGAGAGAGTTATACCAGAACTCCTTAGCATGCAGATCAGTCAAAAGGGTTGCGACTTTTCAACTCTTCGCTAATTGGAACTTTAGTTTGTGAGCTTGAACTCAATGATAGACTAGCTAGGCCATCAAGAGGCGGGGCCAAGGGGCCCATAGTTTCTACGGCTTTGTTCTGGTTTCCTTGGCTGTCACAAACAGCAAGAAAGTATTGAGTTTTTTGACATAAAGAAGTTACCAGGATCAACCTTTAGTAGTCAGTAGTTTATATCAAACAAGTATAGTCAGAAAATCCAAACCTTAGAGCTATAACGCAAAATACGTTGGACATCATAAGAAAAATAAAAAGAACATGTTCAAGCATACACATTTGTTGAAGTAGATTTCCCTTTAAATCTTTTTGCAAAAATCCATTACAATGAGATCTTAAATCTTGCATATGAATTTATTTTAATTATCGTGAATGCTAACACATGGATTCTGCCTCAGAGAGCTATGGTTATAAAGCACTTATAATATATGGAGATCAAAAGCTGTTGTATTACTGATTATCATGCATCCAAAAACCACTGCATTCATATCAGAAAAGTACAATGTGACCTCGAGGCATATGGCAAAAGCAGCTCCTTGACACCCCAAAATAATTGGATGGGACCATCATGGTAGAATCTGGTGCAAAAGGGTCATTTGCAGCTTGTCATTGTTTATTAGTGAGATTATCTAAACCACACCACACGGTAAAGTTTCAAGAGATTAAGGATCAGTTAAGGAAAAGAAAAAGGCCGAAAAATTCAGGAGGAAAATATACTGTTGAAATGTTGCATGTACCAGGGCATTCAGTCATTATTTATTAGTGAGACTATCTAAACAACACCACACGGTAAAGATTCAAGAGATTAAGGATCAGTTACGGAAAAGAAAAAGGCCGAAAAATTCAGGAGGAAAATATACTGTTGAAATGTTGCATGTACCAGGGCATTCAGTCATTATTTATTAGTGAGATTATCTAAACAACACCACACGGAAAGATTCAAGAGATTAAGGATCAGTTGAGGAAAAGAAAAAGGCCGAAAAATTCAGGAGGAAAATATACTGTTGAAATGTTGCATGTGCCAGGGCATTCAGTCATGTTGTGTTTGGATGAGGAGATACAGTTAAAATATTTCCCAATTTTTTAAACCAGGCTTTGTTTGAGTAAACCAGGATTCTAGAAAGGAGGCAGTAACTCACACACATTTACTAAGAGATGCGGAGTAAGTTGGCATTTGGTAACAAAGAAACCACAGAATAGTAGGTTTGGGATGGTATTCGTGGTCAACATAAGGTGGCCTGGTTTGCAGTATCTCATGGGCCACCACTACTTTATTATGCCCCAGGCCAATACCGATCCAAAATGACAAACCGAATTAGGATTACCTAAAATAGTCTCACCAGTATGTATTCTATTATCTCACTTTTTTCTTTCCCATTTTTCTTTCTGTGGGGAGAGTAATTGAGTAATAGATTCGAAGGAATAAAGGAAATGGTATTTAGGGGCACTTCTACTCATTTATGTATGCGTCCTTTCATACATAAACATAAAATGTAGCATGCATGTGTTCTTGCTCTTCTATTCCATATTTTCTTTACAAATAGGCTACATATAGCACTAGGTAGTGAAGTTTCTTATAAGGATAGGTTACCCAAATGAAATGGAAGATCATGCAAATGTAAGTTACATCTGTTGAGGTAATTTTTCTTAAAACACCATTTAAAGAACTACTTGAAACATAAAAGACATCTTACTTATTGCTTGAATCCATGTCTCAGTAATGCTTCTAGGCAAAGAAATAGGAGAGTTTATGAAAATTGAGATTAACCTGGCAATGGGGAAGTCGATGGGTACTGGAACGTAGTCTTCAGGAGAATCAAATGGATTCCTTGACTTATGTGGTGGATCAATAGAGGAAACTGACACCTGGGGTTTCAATTTTAAAAGACAATCAGAAAAAGAAATCAATGGTAAGTCCTAAGAGCAGAAAAATGATGCAATATCTCTTATCACTAACACTAGTAAATAATAAGCCTCATTTGGCCACAATAACGAGTTAAGCTCATTCCGAACACCCATTCAAAAATCAAACGCTATTTCATGGTTTCTTGAAATCACAGTTTCATAACATTCTTCACTTCATCCACTTGGTGGTTGAAAACCATAATGAAATGATAAGACAACAATTTTCCATTATCCAATCTTATATATTAATACCATTACCAATTTATTATATAATGCTTACAAACAATGGCAACATCAATTATGTTCAAAAGAAGTAGAGTTCAGTGTGGAAGCATTTGGACCATTGCTTTTAAATTTGAATAAACAGATATGGTTACGTAGGCGTCTCACATCATGAACACCTATTTACGCAAAGTCAAAAAAGAAAGAAAAATTGTAGTCCTCTTGTTCCCTCAATGACCTTTCTTTAGGTCAGATAAGAGAATCCATTCCTTGCTAATTGTCTCATATACATGCTCCAAAAAGATGATAAAGAGTCAAACTCTAGATCAATACAAACAAACTGAGGGAAAAATCAAAGTCCGTCACATCCTGAAAGTTCGGTGATTAGGTTACAAAGTGTGAATTCATACAAGAAACAACTATTGAGAGGTTAAAATCAATATCGATTAGTGAATATTTTTTAATTTTTTTTACCAAACACAAATAAGCAACAAGATGTGCTTCAAATTAGAAATGGATAAATACATAAGATAAAATTATGTGTGTATGTAAATGACATAGAGATATTTAACTTTGCATGCAATCTGACATAGGCAATACTAACAGATTGATCTTCACAATCCTACTACACCATTGTTACAAGGCAAATATACGAGAAAACACATCTTTAGAATCCGAGCCACCTATCTATATTTAGCCAAGTCCAGTACGATACATCCATACAAGTCCATATATATATATATGGGAGTGGATTTTGTATGCCCACCCGCTGACCGCTACAGTAAACGCCAATGGCCCAGATTGCATCTGGGCTGATCTGACGATCATGGATGTCCCGTAGTGTTTGAATTTTAATTTTTTTTCTACAAATTCAAATCACTTGAAATTTT